TTCCAAGGACAAGCTAGACTGCGGGGAAGCAAAAGGGTTTGTCCATCGCATACACCTCACTGATGATCATCCCTTCCGGCTCCCCTACTGTCGCGTCCCTCCAGCACACTACCACAAACTGAGAGAAGTCTTGTCTGAGATGGAGTTGAAGGGCATTATCAACAAGTCAGTCAGCGAGTATGCCTCCCCGCTGGTTCTGGTCTGGAAGAAGACAGGTGAATTGCACTGACTTTCGTTGGCTGAATGCCAAGACAGTCAAAGACGCCCACCCATTGCCCCACCAGGGAGACTGCCTTGCCGCCCTTGGAGGGAATGCCTTTTTCAGCACCATGGATCTCACGTCAGGCTTCTACAATGTCCCCCTCCATGAGTCTGACAGACGGTACACAGCCTTCACAACACCATTGGGCTTATATGAGTACAACAGACTTCCCCAGGGGCTATGCAACAGTCCTGCATCCTTTATGCGGATGATGATGAGTGTTTTTGGTGACTTGAACTTCTCCAGCCTCCTCTGTTATATGGATGACCTGCTGGTTTTTGCTCCATCTGAAGTGGAAGCCCTGAGTCGACTCGAGACGGTCTTTTCACATCTCAGAGCTAACAATCTGAAGCTGTCTCAGAAGAAGTGCCACTTCCTTCGCAGGTCTGTGCGGTTTCTTGGCCATGTGGTGAGCAGTGATGGTGTCTCAATCGATCAGGGGAAGGTGGAGGTCATATCTGCTTTCAGGAAAGAGGACCTTATGGACGGTGACGGCTGTACTCCATCTCAGCAGAAGGTCAAATCTTTCTTTGGGATGGCACTGTACTACCAGCATTTACCCAAATGACCCCAGAGGTGGTTCTTTTTTTCTAAACCTCGCTAAAAAGGTCAAATTTAACTTGTTTTGCATCAATCTTGATACAGGGTACTTATGTTATAAAAGCTTTTAGTCTACTATCCCATCATTCAAGGGTGGTTTTCACTATAAGTAATGGGTTTTTTTTTGGACGGAAACTATAATTTAATCTTTTTTACTATGTTCAATCTGAATTTACTTTAAAATAAAAACATCTATATTGATTCATACTTTTCTACATCCAACTCACAGGTTTATCATTGCTTTGAGAAAAAAGATTAGGCTGTAGTGCAGCCTCTTAACAAAAAACAGAACCTTGATCATTCTGTTCTCTCCAACTTTAGACCTATTTCTAAGCTGCCCTTCCTCTCTAAAGTCCTAGAGAAAGTGGTGTTAGCGCAACTGCAGTTGCACCTTGTTTTAAACTGCATATCAGAGAAGTTTCAGTCTGGTTTTAAATCACGCCACAGCACAGAAACTGCTCTCCTAAGAGTCTTTAATGATCTTCTTTTAACTGCTGATTCTGTGAATTCTGCTGTGCTTGTGCTTTTAGATTTGTCTGCTGCTTTTGACACCATTGACCACCAAATTATTTTATCACGCCATGAACTGTGTGTTGGAATTAAAGGTAATGTCCTAAAATGGTTTCAATCCTATCTGTCAGAAAGGACCTTTTCTGTGCATCTTGGCCAGTATTCTTCAGCTGCAGCCCCACTAGCATATGGGGGTCCCTCAAGGTTTTATCCTGGGCCCCATTTTGTTCAGTCTGTATTTACTACCTCTGGGGTCAATTTTTAAAAAGCATAATATTTCTTACCATTGCTTTGCAGATGATCTGCAGGTATACCTGCCTATAAAAGCAAATAAGGAATATAGGATTGCCTTGCTTAGCTGTCTGAAAGACATAAAATCATTGATGGAAATCAACTTCTTGACTCTCAACGAAAACAAGAGAGATTATAATATTTGGACAGTCTGAACTCCTGGATGGCTTTAATAGTGTACTCGGCCCCTTAGCCTCCTACAGCCGTCCCTCTGTCAGAAATATTGGAGTCATCTTTGACAACTGTTTTAAATTCGACAAACAAATAAGCTCAGTTGTCAAGACAAGCTTCTTCCAGCTGCGGCTTCTGGGGAAGGTAAAGGCTTATCTTCCTAGTAAGGAATTTGAAGAGCTAATCCACCTATTTATAACGTCTCGTTTAGACTATTGTAACTCCCTGTATATTGGTGTTGATAAGTGTTTGATCAGTCGCCTGCAGCTGGTCCAAAATGTGGCTGCACGCCTTCTTACTGGGAAGAGACGTTATGACCACATCACAACCCGTTTTGGCAGACCTTCATTGGCTTCCTGTCAGTTACAGGATCCAGTTCAAGTACTTAATTGTTGTTTTTAAATCATTGCATGGACTGGCACCACATTACCTGTCTGAGTTGTTGCACCGCCATGCTCCAGCTAGAGCACTGCGATCAGCTCAGCAAAAATATGTTGGTGGTTCCTCGGTGCAGGAAAAAAAACCCGAGGTGACAGGGCTTTCAGTGTTGCAGCTCCCAGACTGTGGAACAGCCTCCCAGCACATATCCGGACTGCTGAGTCTATTGAACTTTTTAAATCTCAGCTAAAAACTCACCTCTTTGCACTGGCTTTTATTTTAATACTAGTTGAACATTACATTTTTACATTTGTATGTGTTTTTTTTAAATATGTTTCTAGTTATTGTGCTTTTTATCATGTTTTTAATTATTGTTTTATTAGTGTTATTTAATATTGTAGTTATTGCCTGTACAGCACTTTGGTCAACTGAAGGTTGTTTTAAATGTGCTATATAAATAAATAAAGATTGAGATTGAGATAATTTACCACTTTTAGAAGTGAAGATATAGTCATATGTTCTGGGAATGTCATTTTCGAGTCTGAGACCTGAAAAACAGGCTTGGGGCTTAACAGGTTAACAGTTACCTCATTGTGAGCTGGAGTCCTTCACTGGGAACAAACCAGGTCAAACAAACTGAGTTAAAAAGTATATTTTTCATTAAAATTAAAGTTTGAGTGATACATTTCATCCAGCAGTCAGCAGCCCTAAAACAAGGGAATGACATGTTTATAATGTGCTGAAAAACACAAAAAATATGTAGGGATGTGAGTCTGTTTCTAAGGCCTTTTTTATTTTTGGTAAATTCTGACAATTTAAACAAAAGAGAACAGAATCAAACTGAAAACATCAGGAATATTTCATTTCATTTCAAACTTTTATTTAACCAGATTGGTCCCATTGAGATCATAGATCTCTTTTTCAAGGGAGACCTGCAGCACATAGGTTCCACATGAAACATAAAACAATAAAGGACATCATACATTATATTTACAGGATACATTTACATAGTTATAGACATTTACAAGTATCCATAGTATCAACAAGCATCTCATTTAGCCTAGCTTTAAAAACATGCAGAGGATTGCTCAGTTTCAATTCTTGCTGAAGATTGTTCCAAGCAAGTGGAGCTGTGCACATAAAAGCTGTCTTACCTAAGACAGTCCTTGCTCTTGGCACATCTAACAATATTTTCTAGATACATTCATCATTGGTTCTTTTTTTTTAGACCAGAACAGACTGCCAACTCAACAGGAACTATCAAAACATCCTAATCAAAGTTTAAGTCACAACATTTTATTAACCAAACAGGGGAACATAGGGAAACCTATGAGGGCGCTGTAGGACACAGGTGTGTAATGTACATTTTGAGGATGGAAGGTCAATAGGCGGCGCTAGGGGGTGCTACAGGTCCCCCTAAGATAGCCATCGCACCCACTAAGCACCCCCAAGAAATGTATGTATTTCTTTTTTGTATGTGTGAAATTCATAATTTGAAAGATTATTGATTCAAAAATAACATGCTACAGTACATTACAAGAACGTCTGGGTCTCTGTGATTTATTCAAGCTCGGCTCTGTGTGTGTGTGGAACGAGCCATTTTTGTGCGTGCGCGCGCGAGAGAAAGAGTGTGCACCGGTACCGGAGATTGTTGTTGTTAGCATCTGGTGCTAGCTAGCTACGCTAACGGATATAAGGAGCTTTTTCAACAACAAGGTGGAGGGAGAACTCTCACCTGTCAGACTGAGAGGCTCAGATAACCTCAGTTTAGTGAGGTAAAGGACTCTCAGTGTTTAGATTACTCACTGAGATTAGTTATCTCAGTGGGTCTCAAACGGTTTGGTCACGATTAATGTAAACAATTATTTTCGAGGCACACGTTTATATGATCATTATAGGTATACAAAAATAAGAGAATAAATGAAAAACAGTTATGCAATACTATATGACAGTAAAACAAGAATACAGTTTAAAAGGGGAGTGATTAGTAAAATATCCATAAAGAAAAATAAAATCTGTTTACAGTTCTGTTTCATATGGGTGTTGAGAGATGTATCCATAGATCTCTTCATTTTGCTCTCAAAGTGCACCAGATTGAGGCATTTAACTTCAATATTTAACTCCCACTCCCCACTTATAAAAATAGCACTTTACCCCTGCTTACACCTATATGCCGTGAGTTGATTATTGAGCCTTCATTTTAACAGTCGCGGATACACTGTGTATGTGCGTGGGGAGTGTTGCAGTACACAATTCCACTGTAGCGACCGGTACATTAATGGGAAACCCTAAATGTTTGAGCACCCTCTATGAAACATCAAGCTACCCCACAGCACCCCCCAAAAGAAAATCTCTGGCGCCGCCACTGAGCCTGCAATCCCGTTTTGAAGAAATGTGCTGTGCAAAACAGGCTCATTGCAGCCACTAATGCTGTGATAAGACACTTTTCTGCCAAATATCAGCATTTTCTTTCTTTACATTATTTTGCACAGATTGCAAAGTGGCAAAGTATAACTTATTGTTCTTGCAAAGGGATTGCACAATTATATTATGTATTTATTTTTTTGAGCACACAGACTTCTGGAGAATTGTTTTATTATCACTGTTCTAACAAAGTGATAAAGGAATGCTCACGTTAATATTGATGTATTTTAATAAATGTTGACTTGGCCCACTTCGTGACTATTTGTGTTGGGGGGGCCCGAATTTTTTTTTTCCTCCAAAGGGGGGCCTGACGGAAAAAGTTTGAGAACCACTGGTTTAGGGAGAAAACAGCATCTCTTCACACCAGTACGGTATCTCTCCAGTGTGAACACGTTGATGTGTTTTGAGAGCACCTAATGTTGTGAACGTTTTCCCACACTCTTCACAGCTGTACGGTTTTTCTCCTGTGTGAATACGTTGATGTATTTTGAGAGAACCTGATTGATTGAACGTTTTCCCACACTCTTCACAGCTGTACGGTTTCTCTCCTGTGTGAATACGTTGATGTGTTTTGAGAGCACATAATGTTGTGAACGTTTTCCCACACTCTTCACAGCTGTACGGTTTTTCTCCTGTGTGAATACGTTGATGTATTTTGAGAGAACCTGATTGATTGAATGTTTTCCCACACTCTTCACAGCTGTACGGTTTCTCTCCTGTGTGAATACGTTGATGGATTATGAGAAGACTTGATTGAATGAACATTTTCCCACACTCTTCACAGCTGTATGTTTTTTCTCCAGTGTGACCACGCTGATGGATTTTGAGAATACTTGATGTAGTGAACGTTTGCCCACACTCTTCACAGCTGTACGGTTTTTCTCCTGTGTGAATACGTTCATGGTTTATGAGAGAAACTGATCTCACGAACGTTTTGCAACACTCTTCACAGCTGTACGGTTTTTCTCCAGTATGAATAAGCAGGTGGCGTTTTAAATTTCCAAATTTTGTAAAGGATGTATCACATTGCTGACAGCTGTGACGTCTCTCTCTTCCTTTCGGTTTCTAAAACAGACGGACAGAGAAAGAGAGAAAGTCAATCTAAAAAACATAAATACATATACAGTTAACACAATAAAAACTCACTTAATACAAACTTTCAGTTAAAAAAAAATACTACTTTTACTAACTGTTTATGTTTATTATATTACAGCAACATTCTAACAGTATATAACAGAGGTGGGGGACTCGAGTCACATATTTTTTTACTTGAGACTTGCTTGAATAACATTGATAAAAGACTCGACTTGACTTTGAATTGGTATTCATGACTTCAGACTTGACTTAGGCTTGAGACAGATGACTCGAAAGGATAAAATATTTGCATTTGTATTGTATTGTATTGTATTGTACGAAGCCCCTAAAAGGGAAATGAATAAATGAGAGAGAAAGTATCTTGTTCGCACGAGAAAGTTCCCGGTGCGCCAAGTAAGAAGTGGAGCGCACAGGAGACAACCGTTTCATTGCAGACTGTTATGTGTATGTGGGGAAATGGCAGTGCATACATTATTTGAAATATATTTCGAACTCGGACTTCATTTTAGGGACATTTCGGCCAGGGATGTAGAGCTATTTGTTTAACCTGTTAAGCCCTGAGCCTGTTTTTCAGGCCTCAGGCTCGAAAATGACAAGCCCAGAACAAATGACTATATCTTCACTTCTAAAAGGGGTACATTAATAATCTTTTTTTCTCAAAGCAATGATACACCTGTGAGTTGGATGTAGAAGTGTCTGAATCAATATAGATGATTTTATTTTAAAGTAAATTCAGATTTAACATAGTAAAAAAATGTAAATTATAGTGTCCGTCCAAAAATTATTTTTTACAGAGTGAAAACTACCCTTGGATGATGGGTTAGTAGACTAAAAGCTATAGGAATCCAAAGTACAACATATAATAAGTACCCTGTATCAAGATTGATGCAAAACAAGTGACATTTGACCTTTTTAGAGAGGTTTAGCCAAAACCACCCCACCTCTGAGGTGATTTGGGTGAAAATGTTTTCTTTTCCATATCTCTGGCCCCCCTTGGTCGATTTTGATGGTTGACACCTCTTTCTGACCGTTAGAGCCAATAGAATCGAAGGGGGAGGCCCCCACACACACACGTTGTGAAGAGAAAAGGTGGGGGCTGCGCGCATGTAATTTTGCGTCAGAGTGGACCTATCTCTAGCTCTGACATTTGGAAATGAAAAAGCAGTTTTATTGCTTATGGATTATCAGAAATAATTTCAAAGAGGACACAGACACATTGGATTAACCTATGGATTAACTGCAGCATCGTTTTGTTATCGTTTTAATGCCATTGAAGACCAGTTTTGACCAAGGTAAGCCATGTTAGCATTTCTAGCTACCTAGCTCCACATGTTATGATGTACGCTTTCGTTTATAGCGTCGCAAATGTTTATCACTGAGTGTTGAGGTGGGCACCCCCAGATTCAGTGTCTCCAGCTGATGCTAATCGATGGGTTGGCTGTGCATCTAGGATAAGTAATAAGGGAGTTAGGAGTGAGTTTAGGTGCAGAGATAGGTTAAATTTTTTCGCTCGTGGCTAATTCAGAGGCTGAGTGTTAGCATTGTGTTTTTTTTTGGAGAAATAAAATTAAAAAGATCAGTTAGCTGAGTTTCTTCCCGTTACATGGATATAAAACATTCATAGTTTATTAAATATTAAGATTCCTTAGACGTTGTTTCCTGCAAATGATGCGTTTATCCACCCGGTACCGGGGGGGCGGTGCGTAACAGGTTAAAAGAGTTTGACAGAGTCGAATGGCCCTATCTGCTAGAAGTGCTTAAGCGCTTTGGTCTTGATGACTACTTTCTTAAATGGATTAAAATTATATTTTTTGATTCGTCCGCAGTATTATTAACCAATAATTGTATTTCACAACCATTTATACTCTTTCGCGGCACGAGACAAGGCTCTCATATTTCGCCTCTACTTTTTGTGATAGCTATTATATGGAGCCATTGGCAATAGCCATACGATCACACCCTTTGATTTATGGTATTAAGACAGGGCACCTAGAGCATCATATAGCATTGTATGCAGATGATGCCATAGTGTTTTGATCAGGTCTTGCAAAATCCCTCTTAAAAGTAATCAATCAATTTGGTAAAATCTCTGGTTTTAAGGTGAACAAAGATAAATCCTCTATTATGTTTCTCAATGAACAGGAGGGAAGAAATCCAAAATTATCTTTCCCATTTGTAAATGCCAGAAACGGTTTTGCTTATCTGGGAATTAAAATTACACCAAAGATAGACATTCTCAGTGCATCTAATTACAAACCCATGTTAGCTTAAGTGTCAGAAGATTCCACTAGGTGGACAACATTGCCTCTGTCCTTAGTGGAAAGAATTAATATAATTAAGATGAGTATATTGCCAAAATGTTTATATATTTTTCAATCAATCCCACTAGCACCTCCTCCTCCATTTTCTCTAAAATAAGAAAGCTACTTTCTAAATGTATTTGGAATAACAGGAAGCCGAGACTTAGACTCTCTCTGTTGTATTTACCTTACGATAGGGGAGGGTTACAACTACCAACATTTAATGTTTTGGTTTTAAAGAGGACTTGATTTGCCATGGTTACGAGTTGAGTTGTTGTCTTCAAAGGGTTTGATGCTGGATATCTTTCTATTCTCTGCTCCTTCTAAAAATCTAAGGAAAAAAACAATGAATCCCTTTGTGAAAAATAAAATGTTTGTCTGGCATGAAGCACATAAATATATAGGAGACTCCCCAATGTTGTCTTGTTTCTCACCTATTTGGGGCAATGAACTCTTCAGCCAAGGTAAAAATGACATGGGCTTCCAAACATGATTAAGTAAGGGTATTGTAAGGCTACTAGATTTATATGAGGACAGCAACCTAATATCGTTTGACGAGCTGAAAACAAAGTATTTCCTGCCACAGAAACACTTTTTCAAGTACCTGCAAGTTAGGAGTTTTATATTGGCAAACTTAAACAACTTGTTGCAACAACCTCCTACGTCCACAGTAGAGATACTGTCTATAAAAAACTGTAACAGCAAAGGACTGGTTACTCAATTTTATAACATAATGGTTGCAAACCATAAAGACAACTCAGAAAGTAAAAGACGTATTAAAGGATATTTCAGAGGATGATTGGGGTACAATTTGTTCAAAGGCACAAACAGAAACTATTAATACACGTCTTAGATTAATACAATATAATTGGATAATGAGAACTTACATCACCCTTGTGATGTTTAACAAGTTTAACCCTAACATTCCTGATCTATGTTATAAATGCAAGATCCATCAAGGTATCATTGCTTGAGGGATTGTGTAGAGGTTAAAATATTTTGGACTTCGGTGACAAGATACATTTCCCAAATAACCTCGTTGCGAACCCCTTTAAGCCCTAAACTTTGTATTTTAAGCATTTATCCAGAAGACTGTTCACTATTGGTTAGGGAAAGAAAAAAGGTTAACCTATGCCTTCTACAAGCAAGGCGCTCAATTGCTTTGTGTTGGAAAAATGTTGGTTGCCCCTCCCTGGGCCACAGGTTAAACAATTTAACTTTGAGTCTGTCTCTTGAGAAACTCACATATATACTAAGGAAGAAAGCTTCTGAATTTTACACCATTTGGGAATTATTTTTGGAATTTATAAAAAGTGGGGACATTGCAGAAGTGATGGAAGGTTAAAGTGAAATGACTAAACTACTACTACTACTGAGGACATTTTGAAATTGGTTAATCTATTTGGAGAATTGTAAGCTACTCTGCTCTGTTTGTGGATCTGCTTTTATTGTATTTTTGTTGAATTTGCTAATGTAATTATATTCTTGGTCTGTACTTTAAACTGATGATTCTAGTATCTGCACACTTTAAAAAAAAAAAAGTGCATTATTTTTTAATCTGCCATATGTCTAATGTTGGGGAATGTTCAGTTGTGTTTGCGTAATGTGATAAATGTTAGAACATTACTAAGTAGTAATGTTCTAACCTATATCCAACCATATTGTGCATTAATATTGTATTTTCTAAACAGGTTGTGATCTTTCATTTGGAGATAACAGTGTTAGGAATATATTGTGATGAAGTGCACACTGACCTGAGCTCCAGGGGTCTTTTTGTTCTCCTCCATGCTGCTCTCAGAGCTCCTTCTCCGGCTGTGTCTCTGAAATAATCAACACAACTACAGCTGACACAAAACATGATAACTCAATACAACCGACAGACACAACAAAATAAATCTACAGCTACTTCTTAGGTTAATGGCAGAGGCGAGAAGTAACTAAGTGATTTACTCAAGTACTGTACTTAAGTACTATTTAGAGGTAAAACTTCGATAAAACCAACGTTAATATCTAGGTCGTCTCCGATACCGAGCTCCGATGCTGATAAGGCTCCGGAAAACGGCCGTCCTACCTTTAGGACTAAACCCCCAGAATCTAAGTGCAAGATTACCATAATCTGTTTAGGCGGCAGCTAACAGTAGGGCATGTACCGAATACCATTTTTCAAGCTCCGGATATTCGGTAGTAATCAGCAGCTAATATTCGGCGCGCGCAGCGCGGGGGAGGAGGTTTATACAAGGCATTCATTTTGTGCACTTGTTTTATAGTTATTTGTTAATGTAAATAACCCAATTTGTGTTCTTTTAAATTGAAAAGGATATTGCATGGTGTTTGTTACTTTCGTTGCAGTTGTATACATGTCTTAAGTGTAATTTGGCTTGTCTTCCTATTTTGTATGGACATGCTTTTATTTTGAAGGAGAGTTAGCGCTGTTGACAGGAAGTGGTTGTTGCTATGGAAACAACGTGACGGAGAAAAGTAGAGGAGATTAACGGAGAAAAGTTATATCTACATATAAAGACGGAGAAAGTAAACTATAAAGTTTATGGTTAAGTGTTAGCACCCCCCGAAGAGGCAAAAGCTCTTACGTTGATATTGGAGATGTCAATCAATTCAATTTAGGTTTAAGTATAAGACACTT